TCCTAAAATTTCAAGACTTTTCGATACCGGACCCCGAATCCTCCAAAATTTCTCAAAAATCGTGGATATTAGCCTTTAATTTTGTATTTTTTTTACTTTTTTTTCGCCCGGAAATTAAAATTGTCGTAATGGTTACTAGGGGTGTTCAAATATACCCGACCTTATTGACCCGACTGATTTTACCGGGTATTTTAATTTTTTTTAAAAATTATCCGAGTTGGGTACCCGACCGGGTAAAATGATCATGTATTCGGGTCGGGTCATGGGCCGACCTGTGATGGTGGCGGGTACCCGCTGACCCGTGAGTTAGTGGTTTTTATTATTTTTTTATTTTTATTTTTATTTTTATAATTTAATACAGTATGATGAATGCGTCATATACGAGTAGTTTATTCGTGGTAGGGTTTTAATTCTCATCCAACCTTTACATTCTCTCTCCTCTAGTAGCCGACAATTCCATCCAATCTCTTTCTCTCTCCTTTTTTTTTTTTTTTTTTGCTCTTTCTTTCTCCATTGTTCTTCTGATTTCAATTCACCCCTCTACTCTCTTCTCACAGTAAGCCTTATAACTTTCTCTACATCTAACCCCAATGCATGCAAGTGAGCACAACAATCGGCAGTCACCGAAACATCTCACCTCACTATTCATCAAGGGTCGGAATCGGAGTGTGTTTGAGTTGGTTGATGAAGCAGGCTGACTTTTTGGTGGCGATAGATGGAGGCAGCTGCGATTGGTGGTGTATTGTTCAGTTTCTCATAATTGATTTTTGGTATTAAACTTCAATTTGTATATTGTATAATTTTTCACAGAATCACCCATTAATTAAGGGTGTGTTTGTGACTTTGATGTGAAATTTGCATTATCAAGATTTTATAATATCTAATATGTATAGATTATATACGGTACAGGGTTAGAGAAGAAAGATTATTTCCTTTGATATGTTTTTGATCTACCAAATCATATGATTATATGAATCCTATAAAATAACTCATTACATTCGTATTGTTTTATATGAATTGGAGCTATTGAATTGCTTCCAAATTAATTTTAAAGCCTTTTGTACTAAAAAAAAATAAAAATACCGGGTACCCTTTGACCCGACCCGAGAAATTCAGGTACCCAAAAGTCGGGTACCCGAGTTTCCCGGGTCGGGACATGGGCCGAGTTTTAAACTACCCGAAGATCCGGGTACCCGCTTTTTCAGGTACCCGAAAACCCGAGTACCTGGATTTGAACACCCCTAATGGTTACCATGATTAATATTACCGTCTGGGAGGGTGGAACCATTCAATTTGCCTTTAAACGACCAATTTACCGATTTACAACTTGTACGGATTTCATTAACTCAAGCATACTACAAACATCTTAAATTCAACCCGATCTGTTACTAATCCGACTCGAAATTAACACGACTTATTATTGACCCGACCTAAATTCAACCCAAATTGTTCCTGACCGAATTTCAAATCATCTTAAATGCAATTTAGACCACCTTATTATGTTGATCAAAGCATTTTGTCTAGGGAGACCAAGTCGGTCCAGGCCAGCAAAAGAAAAGAGTATCATCCTTAAATTTAAGAGTTAAATATAGTATATTTGTTGTAATTAGAATGATTTGTTTTAGGATTGCCTCAATATCTGCTAGATTGCTATGTTTAGATCGTACCTCTTTTGGTACTATATCTTTTAAACGATATCCCAGTGACTGATTGCATATACATGCTACAATATCACAGCATCTACATGCCTGTCTCACAGTAACAAAACTACTGAACTACAGAAGTAGTGAAGCACATAGAAGCTGGTAATAGCTAAATTCCATCTTCAACCTATGTCCAATATGCACATTGTCAAATCTGAATATTCTTAGATCACAATTTGAATATATCATATGTTAAAATGAGCAGTTAAGGAAATTCAAACTGTATCCTACAATCATCTGCATTCTAAGCAGCTCTAACTCTCTAAGCCTTAGAACTTTGAATAACGAACAAAGTTGAAATGAAATCATCAAGGAAACAACCTACAATAACTAAACAACACCCTGTTATTCTCTGAGCTCAGGCTTTCAAATTCTCATCAAGCGTTCAACAACGAAGCTACATGCCTACATCACTTGATCCCACCATTTAGAACATAATAAATTTCCTCATACACCTGACCTCACAAATATCACATATCCTTAATTGCACCCAAATAACAAGTCAGAAATACAAACACCATCAGTTCATTTCCATTACCCTCTTTGCCCATTTAAGCTAACAACATCTAAAGTAAACACCCACTCAGCCACTCCCCTGTTTCAAAACTCCATCACTGCACTGACTTCAACACAAACAGCTCAATACCCTTCAATGGAACTAAAGGCAACATTACCAAACTCTTTCATGCTCAATTCTCATAACTACAACAACAAAGTATAGCAGAATTATGAAACCTCATCCCTAACTAATCAAAGTCTATTAATCTATTATAATCACCATCTCCAAAAACACCCACATAATAGAAAGTTAATCAAGTTAAACACTTTAAGTCTTTAATAGACCACCAAATTCCATTTTCCTACCCTATACAATTCCAATTAATATCAGTAAAGAAAATTTATCAATCAGAATAAAAACAAACCAACATATAACAATAAAAATGGATAGATTATACCATATATTATGAACCAAATATCAAAATTTCTCAACATCAAATAACTCAAATATAATCCAAATTTCAGATAAACACAAAAACACATATCAAATTCAAAATCTAATCAACCTGAGACATAGAACCAGCAGCAGCAACATCATCAACAGTAAACTTTTCCTTCCTTTTTTCACCATTACCACGACCAAGCGCCTTACGTTCAAGCAACCCCTTCCTATCCTTATCAAGCTTCAACTTCGTAACAACAACCTTCGAAGGATGAATCCCAACGTTGACCGTCGACCCGTTGACCTTTTCTCGGGTAATCCGCTCAATATGGATAACCCATTTCTTACGGTAGCATTGGACAATTTTACCCTCGCGACCCTTGAAGGTTCCACGCACAACCTGAACTTCATCGTCTTTGCGAACAGGGATAGAACGGACATTGTGCTTGCTTCTTAGGTCGGCGGAAAGTGGGGCCGACATGATTGTACGGCGAACGCTTGATGGTGCCGTGAAATGAGCTTTCCGGCATTTTCTGCGGGAGCTTGATACTCTTGGGTTGTGCTTCATTTTGGAATTCTGGGTTTTTTCCCTCTCTCTCTCTCTCTGAAAGTTGCAGGGTTTTCTAGGGTTTTGAGGAGAGAGAAAAATTGAGGGAGGGAGGAAGAAGAAGAGAGTTTTAGGGTTTTGGAGATGTGTATTGACGTTGTTGGGCTTGGGCTCGTATTATAATCGTTAATCGATGGCTTTAGGCCAGGTTTTTTTTTTTTTTTTTTTTTTTTTTGGACAAAAAATATGTCTTCACCTAAGCTACATTATGATTTTTTGTCTGTCTTCACACTTTTTTGTTTCTTACAAAAATGGTCTAATGAAGTTATGATATTAATACGGTTTTATTTAAAATATGTATACTACATAAAAAAATTAAAGAAACAAACAAACTTGCATATATAGCATGTGTAAAGAATATAATAAAGTATGATATTTAAAAATAACAATTTGAATTTCGTCTGATTCACATACTAGTTACTCGTATTATCTATCAAAAGGTGAAAAATATCATGTAAATATGACATCTATAATAGAATGCAAGAAGCCTAGAAGTACTAAAGAGATTTTTCGAGGGTGTAATATATTTAGGGGTGATTCGTGATTGTTTATGTATGTAGCTTTGAAGCTTACTTGAGCATGGCTCAAGATAATGCTAATCGAAATCTTAGATTTAATCAAAACATTTGTTCAAATTAGTGAGAACCAATGTACAAACTACAAAGTGATCTAATATAAAAACTAGCTTCTCCCAAATCCCAATCAACTAAATTCTAGCTGCATGTTGCTTGGCAAGGCTTTTTGTTCATGGAAGCACTCTCCCTCCCCCTAGGCCCTTAACCCCTCAACAATAAGAGCGTCTTCATAGACATCATTGTTTTTCAAGGTTGATGGCAATTGAACTTATATATATATATAACCTTCTTTGCAACTTCTCTATTTTTGAGTCTCACCACGTTTATTGGAAAGTTAATCGAGCAGCAGATTATGTTGCTTTATAAGGTCACTATAGTCTTGAAAAGATTTCTAATTTAGTGCATTTTTCTTTTAAAAGTTTTAAAAAATAGTAACGAACACTAAACATGGCACATTGAGGATCAATGGAGATGTTTTGGAGCCACTAGCAATATATCAAGATTTTCCACAAGAGCAAGCTATTTTGAGCTCCAAGAGTGGTGCATCAGTGCATGTATACCCACATGAGCACAAGTTAAACACACTCACAATGAAGCCGGGCTAGTGAGAACACAATATAAGAATTGCGGTAGATTGATTTCCCATCCATCTTGACGACTGTTGCGTGATACAAACAGTGAAAACTTGAAAAGAGTTATGAGTATTTCGCAGCTTATTAGCTACTCCGTACTTCGGCACACCTATTACAAGTATTGAGTAATCAAATGTTTCAATCAGATAAATTGATGTCTTCATTTTTTTGGTCTCACAACCTATCAAGTCAACTAATTATCGGTGTGCAAAGAGATTTTCCCGTAGTACCTGACTACATATTCCACAAGGCTGAGAAGGCACAAATGAACCCCATGACATGATTAATAGCTTTCAAAATAAACTCAATTGCAGAATTTTAGGGTATGAAGTCGTCTATATAGATGGCCAGCACAAACCTTCAAGTAACTGAGCTTAAGGATTATATTTTATGGAGCCAAAAAATCAGCTACAAAATAGGACGATACGAAGTATCATTTTTGCATCTTTAATTTTTAGGGAAAAATATGGAGCCTAACTCCTCAAGACAAAACCACAAACTTTTTAGAGGGAAAAAAATATACAAACCAACACAACATGGGCATTCTAAACAAAATGAGCAAAATCAATTTTGATTTCAATTAGGCATGGAGGGTAAAAATAGCATAGTATAATAGTAAATCGCTTTTATTCTAACTCATATTTCCTAGCTAAATCAACTAAAAGCAGGTCTACATTCCATTTGAACAAGATTACCAAAGGAAAAAGTTTTGAAGCAAAAATCCCCCAATTCCAGAATTGAGTAGGTTACATGATATAAACTCTGCTCAATACTCCAATATGTCGACGAAATTCTCTTAACAGTAATCAAACTTTTCAAGCAGCAGCAGCGTCACCCTCGTGAAGAAGGGTCTGATCAAAGTGCCATACACCTGGGGGAATTAACCATAACATTAGCATCGATAATATTAATGAAACAAACAAGGAGAGCATCTGGTTTAAAAAAAAAGAAAAAAAAAACAAGGAGAGCATCAGTTTCAAATGAAGGCAGATAAATAATTACCATGTCCCTTGCCAATTCTCCGGAGCTGAGCTACATATTCTGAGATTTTCTTTATGGCTTCAACCTGCAAAGCAATTGGCAATTGGCAATTTTAAACATCAGTAGTGTAAATTGTAAACAGCAGTCCTTGAGCATATATCACAATATCTCATTCAATGTATAACCAAGAAAGTTAAATTACCTGTTCATTTAAGAACTCGCCCTCAATATATTCTTGCAATTGGACATCACTGTTTTTCTCAGCTACCTGAAATTAAGAAAGTTGGATATTATTGTCAGCAAGTCCTACTTGATAACATTATAAGTTTAATTTTACCATTCCTTAGCTACAGAAATAAATTTGAAAGACAAACAGCCAACAAACGAGGAATGGGTTGCTATCACTTACTTGATGCAGGTTCAACAATTTTTCATTAACAAGCTTCTCCAAGGACAAGGCAAGTTCCATAGCTGCATCACAAACAGAAAAGTCAATACTAATTACTTTGCAGCAAACTAATTTGTAGTCACACGGCTCACACCAAAGATGGATATGCATAGGCGCATAGCAGGACATATATCATGACTTGTGGCCAAGCCAATGGGCTCGGATGACAAACAAAAGTACACACGACGTTAATCAAGGATTAGGTAAGTTTATGACATTATTTATGATACGCTATTTAATCAATAAAGATTGAAATTGTATTGTTTGTTTAAACTTTAAAGGCGTTGCTGAATGCAACAAAGGAAAGACAACATAGAATTACGTACATCAAGCTTGTTTTTAAAACATCATACATCAAAGGTTATTTTTTGTTATAAAAACTACAATGTATATTGCTGGTTGGTCAACTAATCCAATGAATTACTTCTTCTGTTATAGTCTTCAGAATAAAAGTTCTATTCCCAAAACTATATAACTAATAGCAAGAAGTATAAATTTCGGACTCGAATAATTTAGAGGCTAGAGGAGAATTAGTAAGCCATCATTCCCCTTTCCTGCACTTCATTTCAATAACTTACTACTTCTACTTCCACAAATATTCCATATCTAGCACAAAATCAATCTGAGATTCAATATTACGTTATTGATTACGATCACATTTTTCACATAGTTAATGATCTGCCAACCTCCTGAATTGCTCTCTTACACCATCTTTTATTAAAGCCCAGAACATTTACCCTCCCCAATAAAGAAACCGTGAACATTTAAAATTGCAAGTGTTATAAAAGAAAATAAAAGTAAACATCTAAAGCATGTGATATCTATCCACGTTCCCTCCATGAACAACCCATTAAATCATTAATCCTTTAAAAAGTACATTAATGTCAACAGACATGATATACCCTACACCAAAAGCACACATCAATAAATCAAAATGCAGCACACGTCCTAGCTGAAATCATAATAGCAATATCATCCTCGTACCAAGTATATGCCAAATCAACTAAACAAACACAATCACAGATCTACATCTCAGCACGAACACACGAAACCAAATAATCGATGAATGGAAAGGATGAACAAGAAAACCCACCATGCAAAGCATCTCCTTTCTCTTCATGATCAAATTCAGAAAGTGGCATCAATATTGATTGCAACTTCACCTTCCCACCACGCATGTTCTGCAATCCACACAATAAATACATATATATTCTCAATTAATTCAATTACACAGCCTAAAATGACAAATTGAGCCATTAATTTGGGTTATTTCTTGTATAAAGTACCTGGTATTCCATCAATTTCTCAGCATGCTCTCTTTCCTCCTCACTAGATTCCTTAAAGAACCTAATCATAAAGTAGCAGGGATTTAGTACAATTACATAAATCAATGCAACTCAAAAAGGGAGAGCAAAAAAGGTAATTTTCGAGCGATTACTTTGCAAGACCCTTAAGTGCCACATTGTCTCGATCGAAGTAAGCATACATCGCGTGATAAACGTAAGAAACATTGTATTCCACACTGCAAAACATACCAATTTTGTTGAAAATGTCAATAATTAAATTACAAATCGATCAATTCTCCAACAAAAGCAGGGCATGAAAATATACAAGATCCATAAACAGAAAGAATTAGATACTGAGTACATCATACATCAAAGAAATTAGGCCGAAAAACAGATTATAAACCACAAATTAGGAAAAAAAATTGGAGCCAAATGTGAAAGGAAATATATAAATCAACGAAATGAAGATTAAATTAAACGTCAGAAATCATAATTCGAACAATTACCAGAAATTACATATATAGAAAATGAATAAAATGTAAATTATAAATTTAATTAAAGAAACAGAAGGAAGAAAATGAGAATTACTTGATTTGTTCATTAATGGCGGATTCACAATCATCGGCATACTTTTGACGAGCAAGAGAAGCCTGAGGAACAGTAGGAACCATAGAGAGCTCCTTCTTAACCTCCTCAAACGGCTCAAAAATGACTCCGGTCAAAGGAAGGCTGTTAGTTTCCGGCGCCACTGCAGAAACGGAGAATCCGCCATTGTTAGGGTTTTTTGTCGATGAAGAAAATCGGACCGAAGAAAAACTCAGAGAATTCGAAACAAAATTCGCCGATGAGAGAGAATGGGTTTCGCCGCCATTGTTGGCGAGGAGAGAGAAAGCTGGAGAAGCTCTGAGAAGCATCACGAAAATGGCGGAATAAAAGTTTTAGAGAGAGAAAGAAAATTGTAGAGAGAGAAAGTTTGGGAAGATGATGGAGAAGATGAGAATGAGTGAGTGAGAGTGAGTGAGTGAGTGAGAGTGAGTGGACGATGAGGAGATTATAAGGGCGTGTGGAGGGCACTAGGTTTAGAATGAGAGTCGTTGGATGGAGGGACACGTGACGGTTGAGATGAAAAGCGTGTGTTAGGCTTGTGTTGGGTGATTATTCTAGGTATGTGTGGCATGATATTTTAGGTGCTTTTAATTATGGCCCGTAGTTTATTGGCATTTGGCCGACTTTATTGTTGAAAAATGTGATGGGTAAAAATGAAGATAAAGTTGGAGAATTTTTGGAAAATTCGAGTTTAGTGGATGGCAATTTTTGGTGAGTATTTTATTTTAGATGCCTACTATTAGTACTATATGATCATTATTCTATTCGAAGTAAGAAATTTTGGCAAAGGGTATATTTATTTCATCTTAATTTTAGTTCAGTTAGCTTAATTTCAGTTTACTGTAGTTTAACTTTAATCAATTCAATTCAGTTTAGCTCCTAATTTCCTTCTCTCTTAAAATATTCAATTCAGTTCAGCTCAACCAGTTAAGCTCCTAATTTTTTCTCTCTAATAAAATATTCAGTTCACTTCAGCTCAATCACAGGTCCGTGAATGTGAACAAGCCTTAATTATTCTAATTCTAAATGTGTGAAATTGAAAGTTTATTAAAATTGTTTGAAATTACTTGAACTTATATGATTTAAATTCAAGTTAATGAGTAACAAAACTTTTATTTCCTTTTTTTTTAAAATGTTAAACTAAGCTGAATAAAACAATGTCTAAAAGTCTTTCATTCTTTCACCATAAAATAAAAATAAAAAATTGACGTATGGGGAGAATTCTTTACCAATAAGGTGTTGATATATTGTCGAAGGTTGAGGGTCTATGTATGAATATACAATAGGCTATAAGTTCGAATTCCTCGTGAGCCTCTACCGGTTGGAATGCTTTTGCCCTCTTTTGATATCCAATATTTTTACACTTAAGCTTTTAGTTTATACATCCTATATATCTATCAAAGAGTGTTTGTTAGGGGATTAAAATAAATGGTAAGGGATGAGGGGAATGAGATTAGTAAGGTGTGATAATTAACTATTTATCCTTTCGGGGGTAATGTAGGGAAAGAGATAGAAAATGGATTTTAAAAAGACCATATAATTTAGTAAGGATACGCCGTCATAGTTTAATAGTTTTCTTACTACACTTGAATACTTCTTGTTTGGGGGTAAAAATACCCCCTATATGTGGACCAATGCTACCGCGACACGTGTCCCTAAGCTCAGCGCTCAATGGGCCAATCAGAGCATGACACGTGTCACTCAATGATAGAAGGGTGAAAATGGGCTCTAAGCCCACAACCCTAAACCGTAAAACGGTGGGAAGCTAATCTACTTAGGTTAAATAACCTAAGAGGCACATGTCCCAATGCTCTATAAATACTGGTCATTACATCAGTTTTAAGGGATCCAATTCTCTCTCCAAGGGCAATGCCCCCCATTTACTCTCCCTTCTCTCTACTTTCTCTCTCTAAAATACATTATTTCGGTCACTGACTTGATCGTCGGAGGCGGACCTCCGGCCCCCCCGGGGTCCATTGTTTTGCAGGTGATCGGGTCGTTCGAGTGTTGCATTGCAGATCTGTCTCCCGAGGGACGTACACACCCTCCATTCGGGTACGTACAAAAAACCCCAAAACACTTCTGATACTTGCAAAACATGGGATATATAACACTTATTTATCCTTAACTTGACCACCAAATTCCTATCTTTATCCTTCCTCATTATCTCTCACACCAAACGCTTTGTTTGTTTATCCATATTATTGATGGTGGTAAGAAGGGGGCTCATTTGAGGGGGAAGATAAAAAAAATCCCTCAAACTAGTCCCATAAGCCTTAATCCCTATACCATAGGGATACGAGGTGGGAGTGATGCCACTACTTTATCACTTCAACCTTTCTAATACTTAAATTTATATTATTTTTTTTTAAAGGTAAAGAAAAATAGGACTAAATACTAAGAAGACTTAATTATATATTTGAATCATTGAGTGGGTAGCTCAAACGAAAAAAAAAAAAATAAAAAAAATCACCTCTGTTTTTCTTAGTTGACACATATTCCTATTTAGAAAGTTTTTTTAGTTGACACATTTTAATTTTGGATAATTGCATTTAATAGCTATTCCACTTACTTTTTCATTCTCTTTCCCCTCTCCTAAATATGGATGTTTAAATTGAAAGTGTTAACCGAATAGAAAAGGAAATACGTAGTAGGGTTTTGCAATTTTATGTACAGGGTTTAGGGAGTTATGACAAACAATCATTGGGCCCAAAACTAAAACAACTCAGTATAGTGCTGCTGCCACGTTTATGTATTGAACCTGTAGAGGTCAAAGTTCCAGCTACTTATTACTTTTTGGGCCACTAAAACTTTTTGGGCCACTAATCTGGGCTTTACGTAATCAGAAATATAAACTGAAGACCATCACATTTTTTGGTCCATTGTTTTCTGGACTTTGAAGTTTGTCCAATTGTGATAAAATAGTCACGTTTGAAGTGTTCTGGAAAGTTGGTGCTTAGAGAGTAGAGAGTAAGAAGTAAGAACCGGAGGAAAATAAGTAAGGGTCCCTCCCGGGTAGCGGGCTATCACGACTCATCATATCGGAGTTAAAAATATTGTATATATAAAAAAAAAATTCAAGGGTAAAAAAACTAAATAAAAATGCTACCCTCTGCTTTGCTTCCTCCTTTCACTTTCACATTTCTTGAGTTACAACTACTCCCTCAATCTCTAATTATTTGCCCCAACCACAAAAATCACTTTATTAAGGTTTTGGGCAAAAAAAATAGTGCACATGAGTTGACACAAATATCAATGAGGAGAGAGAGATAGAGAGAGCAAGTGGAGTATTATTGTAGGAAACCAAACAAAGAAAATCTAATTTGCAATTTCGTTTTTTTTTTCCTTTTCTATTTCAGGTAATTTTTAAGAACAATGAAGCGTTAATTTAAAAGCAATGGAAAATTTGCGAGGAAGGTCCTTTTAAGTAGACCTTTTAGTGACAAAGGCTCTTTTATAAAAAAAGGTGGCACAAAAGGTCCTTATATCATGCTTAGGTTGTGAGGAGCGTCCTTTGACCATTTTCCGGTGTTGACTTTTTTATTTTTCGGCAAAAAAAAATTCACATTTAAGTTCCCTTTTTTTCCCTCCCCTTTTTCCTATTTTCTCCCTATTAAACCCTAATTTCTGAAAAGATTAACACAAACTTCAATTGTGATCCCATAAATTAAAATTGAAGGCTATTTAAAGTAATTCAAGGGTAATCCTCCCCACAATGAGGGAAACATTAAAGGGAGCTTAATAAGTCACGTGCATTACACGTGGCTTTTTTTGACCGAAAAATAAAAAAGTCAACACTGGAAAATGGTCAAAGGACCCTCCACACAACCCAAACATGATATAAAGACCTTTTGTGCCATCTTTTTTTTTTATAAAAGGACCTTTGTCACAAAAAGGTCTACTTAAAAGGACCTTCTTCACAAATTTTCCTATATATAATAAAAATTAACAATGAAGAACTTCTGTTTATACTAACTTTTATAAGTCGGGTCAATTTTGTATGTCTATTAATGGGCACAATAGGCGAATAGAATACTTAATTGGTTTTTTTATCATTATAAAAAAACCACAAAAAGAATGAAAAACCATGCATGCATCTCGAAAATGAACAATCTTCTTGCATTTAATGAACCATATTGGAGCTTAGCAAAGCTACAAGTTTTAGTTAGTTCTTTTTGCTTTTCTATGTTCTAAAAAGATGTCTGTTTTCTGGGTTTAAACAACACAACCTAATTTTCATCAAAAACAGAAGAGTAGAAGAAAAACAATGCAACAATTTCAAAGAGAAAGTTCCCTCACTTCCATATATACTATACTGTTTTTTGTAGTCTCTCTTATTTCTAGGTTTAGGGTTCTGAAATCATTTAATGCATAGTGTTTTATACTAATACTGAATTTTTGTTTATTTTATGTACCTCTTTTTGTATACAGTAGTACATATTTGACTAAACTATCCAATCAATTAACCACTTCCATAACAAATAAACTAGCTTAGCTTTAGCTATATATATATATATATATGCTACATACATACATTATTATTACATTATATTGGTTGTAGTTATCAGGTATCTCTAGGTTTTTGCTTAGGTTTATTCGAAAGTAACATGCATGGATGTTCCAATTGATGATACTTAAGAAATGTTGGTCAATTTTGAATTTGGTAGTGTTAAATGCAATATCAGCTTGACCTTCGAATCTCATTATTGACATGATCGACTTATACTACTTAGATATTGATCTGATTATCGTTCATTTGTACATGTTTAACAGACAAAAAAGTTTATAAGATCAAGAGCATTTAATTAAAAGAGCCGATCGAGTGACAGAAAAAAAATATTCCCTAAACTTCATGCATGAAATTTAATACTATCATTATGTACTTGGCTTGGCTAAACTAGGGTTTTATTATAAGTTAAACAATGGATGAATTTAGGGACATGAAGGTTCATAATACTAAGAGAGACAAGATGTTAAGAAAAAAGTGCTGTGTTATGTTTTATGGAGAAAGACAAGAAATAGAAGATTTGGATTCATGTGACCTACATTTAATGTGTTTTGCAGAGGGATAAGGTTTAGGTTTCTTGGCCAACTAATTTTATTTCTCTTAATTAATCAATTATTTTTATTTATTTTTAATTTAGTTTCCCTCGAAATTTGGTTTTATTTCTTCCATTTTATAAGAAAAACCCCACCTCACAGCTTCTTAATAATCTAATGTCAGTAAGGTTTCATCAGTGTTAGAGTTAATTAGACAGAATTGTTAATTTATTGATTTATTTTCAAAGATAGAATTCTTTTTGTAGAGTTAAAGAATCTTCTTAAAATAAGTTGTTGATGAATAGTGTACTAAATTTTGTTTTCTTTAATGTATTCTGATCTCTTAATGTTAGGCTGGAGTGTTTTCTTTTAGTTCAAAAACTAAACT